GTGCGACCCACAGCCCACGCACGGCTGGCCCCGCACCCTCAGCATCTCTGGCGGGAGCTGTGGGATGGATTTGGCTCTGCCAAGGGGATGCTCGGGGGACAGCAAGACAGGGTACACCCAGGGGAACGTCACCGGGACCCCTGGGGGACACAGACCCACCTCGTCCTTGCTCCTGGCCGTGGAGTCGCAGGTGGTGTTTTTGGGTTTCCGCAGCGGCACCCACTCCCCACCGCGGTCAAAAGTGATCACGGACTGGATGGAGTTGTCTGGTGGGAGGAGGAGGAAGAGCCGACGGGGGGGCACACTCCCCCCCCCCCCCCAGCCAGGTCCCAGATCCCATCCCTGGGGAGGCACAACCCAGTTTTGGGGACACACACACACGGAGACACAGCCGCCCACCTTCGGAGAGGACGCTGGTGATGTAGATGCCCCGCAGCGAGGTGACATTGGTGAAGTCGGTCTCCCCGCCGGTGGTGGTGTAGAGGTGCCGCTCCAAGGACTTGGAATAGACGATGCCACGGTCGTCGGAGGTGTAGATGGTGCCAAAACCCGTGTCTACAAGAGGGACACAGGGACAGCAGTGGGGGGCTCCCATGAGGCCGCCACAGACCGGCATCGGCACCAGCAAACCCCTGGGTGTCTTGGGGAGCGAAGAAACCCCCCCAGTGCCGCAAAACGGACCCAGCGTGATCACGGTCCCTGCGTGCACTGCTAACCGGAGCAAACAGCCTGCTAATTAGCAATGCCTTAATGAGAAAGCCCTTCCTCCAAGGCACAGCAGAGCTACTGCTATGTGGCAAATTCTGCACTCAGGTGAGGAGCTGGTTTGTTCGCTGTAGAGAGGTTTCCAGTTGTCCCCGGCCCCGGGATGTGTCCCTGTCCCCATCACACGCAGCCCAGTATCACTCACCGCCCGGCTCATCTACGTGCATGAACACCAGGTCGTCGTTAGCGGCCAGGATGGAGTAAAATTGCTCGTGGCCAACGGAGGGGAGCTGGGCCATGTTCCAGGTCTCGCCTTGGTCAAGGGAGACGTGAATTCGCCTCGTGGTACCCTAGGGAACCAAAGCATCATCATCCTTCATCCTCCTCGTAGGGAGATGAAGGGGAAGCGAGGGAGAGCTGCGGGCAGGGACGAGGCACCGCTGCCCACTCTTTGGCATCACCGGGAAGGGGGACAAGGACCTTCTCTGTCATAACGGAGGCGAAAAGAAAGCGTCCTCCCAACCCGAAGGAATAAATCTTGGTGCCGATGACCTTGAAGGTTTTGCCAAAGTCGGAGGTTTTCTTTAGCTCCAGTAACCCCAGATCAGCTTCTTAACAAGAAGGGATGGTGGATTAACGAGCTTTGTCAATCGTCACTGGAGCTATGTCTCCCCACAATGTCCCAGCTCCGGGTATTCCCAGTTAATCCCAGATTTTTTGCTGACAGCACCACACTCTCTGCAAGGGGGCTTTGCCCCCACAGAGCCCCCCATCCCCGCAGAGCCCCCAAAGTGATGGAGACCCCGGAGATGCGACTCAAAAATCAAGTACTTACTGCAGGAGTTGTTCATGTAGGTGGTGAAGAAGATGGTGTTGTTCGCACCCCTGGGGAAGAGAAGGGGGGGGACACAACACCCCAGAAGCAAGTGGGACACAGTGGCCCAGGATGCCACCCCCTGCAGGTTCATCCCTTGCCGTGGCATCACTCTGAGGGGTTTGGGTGGTTGGGTGGGTGTCCTCCTGCCTGCTCAGGCTTCGATCGGGCCCCCCCTCAAAAATTTCGATCGGGCCCCCCCTCCCCAAAATCAAGCAGCCACTCACCACTTGGCCAGGCAGACGGCTTTGTGGATCTCCTCCCACTTCTCTCCGAAATCCTTGGAGACCCAGAGGCTGTTCTGCAAGAGTCCAGAGGTTGGTTTTGGATGACCACTCCCCCATAAATGCCTCCCCCCAACTTTGGGGCTGCAAATCCCCATCCCCAACCATGTGTCCCCCCTGTCCTGGAGACACACGCATCCTCCTGGCATGGGGATGAAGCCCAGGACACGTGGCCATGGTCTGGCTGATCCTTGGGGAAGCACCACCAGGAAGCTTACGCCATCCCCGGCTCCCCAGCCCTCACCTCGGTGCTGAGGGCCAGCAGGCAGTCTGAATTTTGGGGGTGGTAGGTGATCTGCACCAGGGGGTGGAAGGGTAAATCCGTCTGGATAAAATTCTTGGCGAAATCAGATGAGCGGAAGATCCTGCCGCCACGACTGCCGCCAGAGACGTCTCCTGTCAAGATGACCTGAGTGTGGGGAAGGGGGGGGTTCAGCCATACTGGGGGGGCCAGAAGAAAGACCACCAGGACCCAGCGAGCCCAGGGCTGGGGGGCTGCTCAGCACGGTCCTGGCTTGCTGGCATCCCAGCACGCCACCCCCTCCTACCTTTCCCGAGTTCTCTGGGCCGATAGCCATGCCGAACTCGGTCCGGATGAAGGTGTTGTTAATGAGGCTGGTGATGTCCTTGAAGGTTTTCCCGTAGTCCTCGCTGGAAGGGAGGAATCAGCACGGTGGTGACCCCGTGCGGTGACTCGGGGTGGGGGCTGCTCCCAGCCGTGCCGGTCCCTGGTGTGTCACCCGTGGGGTCCCATGGGTGTGGGGGGGGACTCACCTGCGGTACAGCTTGGACTGCCCGAAGCTCATGATCACCAGCGGCACCTGGAACGTTGTCAGGACGAGGATGACCTGAGCAGGGAGAGGCAGACAGGCAGGGTCACACCTGGAGCTCCAAGGCACCCCCTGTTGTCCCTAAAAGGGTTGTCCCCTCCCTGGGCACCGTCCTCCCTGGATGAGTCCCTGCTTCAGGTGCCACCAGCCCCACAGTCCCTTGGGACAGGAGGGGGTCACTGCTGTAACCCCCAGTGGGAACTACAGCCGCTTTGGGGGGGGGAGCTCCCCCCCAGCACCCCCGCGGCGCTTACCCCTGTGCTGTCGCCCACCCAGGACAGTGACACGGAGCCACTGAGGTCATCGAAGACGCACTGTGAAGGAAGAGATGGCAAAAGCACACTTACCCCTGGGGAGGGGGACGAGACCCCCCCCCCCCAGCGGGGCGGGGCTGCCCCCCCCGGCCCCCCCCTCCCAGGGGACACCGGAGTTCCGGTGCCTTCCCCTGCCACCCACCCAGGAAAGTGACACTAAGGCATCCCCGCAGCACACGGGTGCAGGAGGGTCTCCTCTGTGCCAGACAGCACCTCAGTGGCACTGGGGGACACTGGTTTGGACTGGCGTGGCCGGACAGGAGCAGGCAACAGGGTGGGACCAGTTGGGGACACTCGTGGGTCGCCTGGGGACGGAGCTCCGGCAGCCCCAGGCTC